TCTATTTACCGTCAACTAAAGCCTCCTGAACTTCCAAAAGGAATTCAAAAACACTTACGATGTGAATAGCCCTGGTGCATGGATTTGTTCATTTCTCTGCTTTCTGAGGTGCAAGGACAGAACAAAGAAAGAGGACTGGACCTCAGAGAGATAGCAAAGAGAGACAGAAAAAGGGTGAAATGTTTTTAGGCTTCTAGCTTGGAAAAGGGAAACAGATCCATAACTATCCAGGGTGCTCCAGCTTTAGGGGTCAGTTGTTTGGCTTCAGGTTGTTTCTACAGAAACAATGTTTCCCACAGTGAGTAGTTTCCAACCATCTTCCACTCAAGCCTGCTCCTAAGTTGAACATCAGCACTGGACCTTTCCAAGAAAGTTGTAATACTGTAAGTAGCAATGCTGTTCCCAAGTTAGCAAGAAAGCAAAGGCTTTGAGGCAAAAACAATTTTGCATTTATCTCAAGGGCAGTGCCAGGGACTGAGGGAGTACAGAGGATTTGTTCCTGGTGAAAACAGACACGGGATAGAAACCAGTCCATGAGTGCCTCCTAAGGCTGTGAGGATGGATATCCGTAAGTCATGGATTTGTGATTTAGCCCTCAGTGGGCAGAGCAGCAACAAAAGTACCAGGCATTTTGACCTTTCAGTTTACCTGGGAAAATATGCAAATCCTTCCAGATGGCAGACAGACCTCAGTTTCACAAGGGTCTGACCAGGACTTGGTAGACCCTATGTGCTTCTTTGGGGTACAGACCCTCCACTTTCTCCATCATGAACCATAGGCAAGGTCCCTCTACCAGTCTGCAGGTGGCAGGGGAAAAAGCTGGGAGAACACCCAGAGGTTAGTACCTCGCTAGAGAACTGTATTTCAGTTGCAGTGAAGTTCAGTCGTGGGAAGAGGTGATCACAGAGTCTTTTCTTCATGTCTTGTCACAGATACTGTCATATCACAGATACTCCAGGACGCCGGTGACAAGCCATGTGAGCAGCAGAATCTTTACTCCACCAGGGCCTGGCCTTGTATACTTCCAATTATTCTGTCTTAGTGGCTCATGGGACTCCAACTGTTAGTCCCCAAACTGTCAGTCCACACTAGACACCCAATCCCATTGTGTAAAAATCAGCTCTGTTACTTGGCATTCTCCTCCAGCCCCCTCTGAAAGTGTTCTCTTTTTGAGACAGGGTCTTGCAGTTCAGGCTGGCCTTAACCTGACTTTGTAGCCCAGGCTGGTCTGGAACTTGGAACAATCCTCCTGTCTCAGTCTCCTGAGAGCTGGGATTACAGGCATGCACCACCATGTCTGGCAAAACTGTTGTATGGGTGTTTGTTAAGTTTTGTTAACCCTGCCTGGCACATATTAGGTGAAGAGTAAGTCATTGTGTGAATTAATAAACTCTTCTCCTTTCTCGGAGTTGACATCTATGAAGGGATCAGAGAAGTAAGTGACAGTGGTTTCCAGTAGCCCCCACTTCTCCTTCTTTAATGTGTCCTAAGCCTCCTCGGGAGTGCTCTGAATTTTTACTGTGCGATGCTTCTGTACACGCATACACACCTGCATACACACACCCACACAGGTTCACACTCACCGCACCGGCTCATCTCTGTGTTACCAAGAGTTCCCGCCCACGACCTTTACTCTCCCTCCAGCCTGAGTGCAGAGATGGTTCCCAGGTCCTCTCAGGTGTCTGGGGCGTCAACATCCGTCAGAGCCAGCATCACGGCACACACGTCCTTCCTACAGCTAGCACTGCTTACTGCTCTTCACTCTGTCCTTTACTTCTAGCAACTACTCTAATAGATAGGTCTGTTATCCCATTTTAATACTGAGGACAGGAAGACTCGGATAAGTTAATTTTCCCTGGATCACACAGATGAGCTTAGACACAACCCCAGGTCTAGCCCGGACACAAGACTGTTCAGCAGTCACCGTTCTGGGGCTTCACAGAGAGGGCTCAGCAAACAAAGCTGGAGGGAACTGGGCTGCTGAGGCACCGCGTGTCAGGCCCACCAGGGGTCGCTATTTCTCCACGCTCCGGCCAGCAATTCAGCCCCTCCCGGTCTCCACAGCCCCACCTCAGGAATGCAGCCTGGGGGAGCCGCGCAGACTCAGTGGTGCCCACCCAACCTGAACCCTACAGGATTTTCAGTCCACCTCTCTCTAGCCCACTTCCGGAGCACAGTGAGGCTGGCTGCAGATGCAGGAGTCCAAGCTGGAACATACGATTCTTCTGCTCTGGCAGAATCTGCGTGGAACACGCTCCCTGCTTGGTTTTCTGGGCTTGGCTAACTGCTGGCCCCATTCTTGAGAGAGGGAGATTGGCTTTCAGAGACATGGGCATGGGGTAGAAGGATACTGGTTAGGTTGGTGGTCTCCAAATTGGGGTGATCTTTTTGAGGTACAGAAAGAAGATTCTAGAACACTTATGTATTTCTAGTTTTAGTCTAAATAAGATGTGGTTTCATTAATCTTTAATGTCCAAATTGGTGTGGACTCTCAAAGGGTTGTGTGAGAAGCAGCCCTGTGTCAGCAAAGTGAGGCTGGAGAACTGTGAAAAGTAGTGCCACTATCGGGGAGCAGGACCTCAAACAGCTTCACACTCCTGGTGGACTGCATTTATAGAATGCATTACGTGATTTAACCCAAGTAATTCTTACCAGACAGAAGAAGGGAAGCAATCTTGCCCTTCAGGAACCGGAAGTCTGACGTCTGAAGATGTTATCAGTACCTGAGCACGTGTGTGGACCGTGTAGGACACCTAGCTGTCACTTCCTTCCTGTCTGAACGCTTAGTTACGTTATGACATGAAGCCTGCAGCAGTCTAAACAGAGCTGACAAGGCACCCTCCCAAATTCATACCTGTCAAACTCTGAAATGACAGCTCTTGTGCACAGTGGGGCTCAGTGTCACTGCGCCTTGGTAACAGAAGTAGTTGTCACAGAAGTAACTTCCACAGTACATCCTGGGTGCCAGGAGAAACGTATTTGGGGGCTGATGGTCTGATCAAAAGAGCTCAGAGATCCCCATGTGTGCTGAGGCCAATGGGTCAGCGCTCTGTTCTTAAGAATTCGTGGAGTTTGTGTGGGCTGTGCCCCTGAGCTGATGGGGTTTGTGGGGATCTGGCTTCAGTGCCTGCTGCCGGACAATGACTAGGAAAGCTTTGGTTCTGGTTTGGTTGATGCTCATAAAGCCAGGTAGTTGTTTGTTTTTCTCTCTTTCATGAGTATTTGATTCCTATAACATAAAAAGGAGGAAGAAGAAGACCAGGAAGAGGTGGGTGTTGGCCTTCCATTGTGTGGCTCCCCACAATGCTCACTGGAGTGTGACTGTGGGCTTTGAGAGAATCCCAGGGTCCACCCTAGGTAGACTACACAGTTCCCCATTCTCTGCAATGCAGGGACCTCCCTCTAGACTGCATTCCTCTCATGCTTCCTTGCAGACAGAGGAAAAAAAGATCTCATGGGAAGCAAAGCGTGCTGGCATGTACCTGCAATCCCAGCTACTCAGGAAGCTGAGGCAGGAGAAATGCAAATTCAAACCCAGCCCAGGCAACATACTGAAGCTCTGTTTCAAGATAATAATTTTTTTTTTTAAAGCCAGAGATAGACCTCAGCAGTAGAGCATTTGCCTACGTGTATAAGGCTCTTCTATATACTGGAGGGGGAAAGAAGATAAGATTTGTCCAAATCGGGACAAGGGCAGGGTTCATCCTAACGTAAGGTCACTTGCAGAAATTCTTACAGAATAAGAATTCCTAAGAATGAATTTTAAATATGCAGAGTTCCGGGCCCCACTAAAGACCTCCTGACTCAAAATCTATGGTGGATCTAGGAAAATTCTTTATAGGCCAGCCTTCTCCCATTCCCCTCAAACTTTTGATTCCTAAGCACAGTAACCTTTGAGTAACATTATATGATGACACTTTGGAAAGCTCCAAACTTTCACAGAGATTACTGTCACAACTGGTTTTTTCTAGTATGGAGTAGGTGGAGCCTCGTCTTTTCCTGTTCATTCTAAGTAGAGGGATAGAGTGAGGTGGAGGGAGGGCAGACACCCGCTGAGGTGTTCTCCTGTGACGGTGAGCATCCCTTCCTCTGTTCTGCACGACAGGCACACGCAGGTGTGGTGAGCGAGAGGACCCCATGCGCACCAGTGAGGCTTGACGTAACGCCAAGGAGAACAGGCTGAATTCTCTGTACTTATTCTTACCTGAAACTAGCTCTTTGCCTGGACCCGGTGGGAATTACTTATCCCAGGTATCTTCAGACAGTGACTCTAGAACATAAGGAACAGGAAGTACATGGAGGTTCTTACACTAGAGAGGACTCCAGAGTGCAGGGAAGACAGAAAGCAACCCCTTGCAGAGTCCTGGCCTGCCCTTGCTCTGTCCTGCTCTGGTCTGGCATCTCTCTCAGAATCCCTACCATTTCTGGACTTCCTTTATCTCGGGACTTGTCACATTGCATTAAAATGGCAGAGGACATTGAATCTCTTGGGAGGAGTAGAACCTGGGTTTGATAAATATTTCAAAATGAAATCATGGGGCCTCCCTGGGCTGACTTGGCCACTATCACCTCAAACGCCTCACGCCCTACAGAGACAGCCTTGGCGTGGGATTTGTGAACTGCTGAGCTGCTGTGAAACATGAGAATTTTCCTTTTGGGTTATGGGGAAGAAGCAGACCTTAGCAAAGGCTGCAGCCTCAAAGTAGGCCTGCATGGTTACTTGTCACTCTGGACCTACATCCAGACTTTATAGGCAACGCCTAGGCTAGCTAGGAAGAGGCCATCTTATTTTCCTGCTCCTGGAGGCCAAGAAACCAAGCAAGCTAGGTAAGCCAGCCATGAAGTCTAGCTCTCCTAACTCCTCATCCTTTCTAGAGGCCAGGGTATTGGCCAATGAGAGTTTGGCTTCTGTGTTCCCACCTTTCCTGGCAACAGCCCTTCTGGGTGGTGAGCAATGCAAGTTCCAGGCATGCTTTCTTTATTGCTGGGTTCCGCTGGGTTCCAAGTGTCACTGATCTACAGCCACATCCTCAACAGACCTGTGGCTGATACCCTGCAAATTTCCCTCTGCAAATAGTATCAGGCAGAGAGAGAGATGCATGTCAACAAGCTGGGAAACATGTGTGGCAACCTATGCTTTGCTGGCACTGTCCAACTCTCATGCTGACCAGGAATGTGGGCAAGTTCTCTCCAGCCCAGAACAGGTAAATCAGACACTCCTCAGTCACCCAAATCCCCACAGGATGGCAATGGCATCAGAGGCACTGCCTAGTCCTGGTTTTAGGTAACCATAATCTTCGGTTTGTGTGTGTGTGTGTGTGTGTGTGTGTGTGTGTGTGTGTGTGTGTGGTGGTGGGGGGGGGGTGATGCTTGTGGATTTCTGACCACTGTGGAAAGCCTGAGCCCAGTGGCTCTGGGTTTTCCTAGAACCTCAGCTCTCACTCATTTGTAGCAGTCTTTCCGGGGCAACAGTGCTCTGTCCCGCCAAGGCCCGTGTACCCCTGCGAACCCAGGCCACAGAGGCTGGGAACTCATCTCATCGCATCCCATCGCGCCTCTAAGCCCCCTCAGTGGAGCCCTGGGAAAAGTAGCTCTGCCGGCAACAGGTGCCTGGGCCAGGGTGAGACGTGAGCTCACTCATTTGGGTCTCCGGCTCTGCAGGCGTCGGCAGGAAGTGACACACAAGGGTGGCGATTCAGCCTGGCCCGGGAGAAGGCGGTAGAAAAGGGCAAGGCCGCTCAGAGTACAGGACAGGAAGCCTGGAAAGGAAGCCACCTTGGAATGAGCATTTTGTCATCAGGACCCTGGGGAGCCATTCAGTGTTTTCCCTGATTTGATTGGAAGCAAATCCCCAAAACTAAAATCGACAGAGGACTGGAGTTGAAGAGATGGGAACAACCGTGCCCAGAAGTTGGAGGCTTCCTGGCCCCAGGAGGAGGGAAGTGGACCTAGGATCCAAACAGCAGGCGGGGCTGGCCCTGAGCGCTTGCGCTGGCTGCGGGGCCCGAGGCGCGGTGCCTCGCCGCCCTCGCCGCCAGGGGGCGCCCGCGAGGCTCGCGACCCGCAGCCGGGCTGGGCCGGGGAGGGCCGGGAATGGCCGAGGAATGCGGCCTTTGGCTCGTCCGGGCTGCATTCCGGCCGGCGCAGGAATGTGAACAGGGTGTTCACTGCGCGCCCGGAACGCACAACGTCGCTCTCCTCGCCTGGAGAACGCCGGGCAGCGGCTCGGAGGGCGCCGTGCGTCCCGATGGGGTCGGGGCCCCGAGGGCGTCGGGCCAGGCAGGCTGTGGACTGGGAAAGGAGAAAGCCAGCGCGGCCAGGCTCTGAGGAAGCTGGCCAGTAGCTGGAAGGGGACATGACATTTGCCCTTCTTGGTCGCCAGCCTCAAGGGTGCAAGGGTTCGGTCCCAAGATTTGCATATCTTTGGGGGCATTTCGTGGATTGCAGAGGCTGGGAGAGGAAGAGAGAGAGCGGTTGATCCAATTTGGGATCAGAGCTCTCTGACCAGCCAGCCAGTGACTGACTACACAAGACCATGTATTAAATCCGTTCCGCAAATATTTAGCGCTCCCTGGGTTTAATTCTACCGGCCAGAGGTAAAGTCATCGCTGTCCTCAAGGGACTGACATTCTGATTTTGGCTAAAGTCTCTGAAATGCACTCGTGTATCAGGGAACGCAGAGAATAACTTGAGTGGGGACAGAGATCCAAGAAGGGACCTAGAGGGCCAGAGTGATCTAGAGGAGGAACCCTATGTGTGGTGGCAGGAGAAATGGTCTGGGCAGGCTTGGAGCAGAGGTGGACACCCCAAAGGCCTGCAGAGTTACAGAAAGGCTTGGGCGCCCATGTCAATAGATTCATGTGTTGATTGGTTTATGGAGCCTGTGCTCCGCAGAGCCACAGTGGTGGCTGAAGCTGTGTGGTGAGGACTGGGAGCCCTGTGACACTGAGAGACCATGTCCTGCAGTGCTCGCCTTGTGTACTCCTGGCCAGCTGTTCAGTAAACATTGCCTGGTCTTTCCACACTGTGCGTGGCTTAGGGACTCCTGTTCCCTCTCGAGGGAGCAGTTTCTTCCCTTCCTCCTTGCAGATGAGCCTGGCAGAGGAAGTCTGGCCATAGAATCTTTGGGGTTTTTTGTCCCATCCTACATCTTTGGTTGGGGGTGGTGACATGCAGAGAGACTGTGATTAGAGCCATTGGAAGGGTCGCGGAATACGTCCAGGGCACCGTGAGTGTGGATCTGCACACAGAGTTGACAGGGCCTCTGTGTGTCCCAGGTGTCACTGAGGGATGGAGCAGAAGTGTTTACACCAAGAAATTCCTTGTTGGGCCCCTTCCAGGAATGCATGGGGACCTGAATTCTTGTGTGCAGAGGAAAAGAGCAGGCCTTGGAATGGCCTCCCCAGCATTGTTCCTTTGCAGACACAGGAAGATAGGTTTCCTTCAGCTCTGTGATGCTGACATCTGAATCTGGACCCCTGCCCCAGCATTAGCAGTCAGGTGGGGGAGGGAGGCAGAGCACCCGGTGCTCATGGAAAATAAACACCCACCTCTGCTCGCCTGACTTAGTTCATGTTCTTAGCATTTCCTCTCTTGGAATCTGGGTTTGTTATTTTAACATTCCACGTGTTGGTTGAGGCTGGGAAAATCCCACTGCCATTGCTGTGGGGAGGCAGACACTGGGACGCACTGGGATGCAGAGTCTGGGCACCCAGGAGAAGTGGCCTGGCTAGTAGGCCAGAGCCCAGTCTCCAGAGGGCTCCTGACTCAGCCGTGTGGGGAGGTCTCGGGCTGGCCGTGCATGCCTCTGAGGGAACCTGCACCAGCCCCATGTGGGGACGTGGCAGCGTTTTGGTTCCAGCTGTCTGGGCCAGCTCCAGGCCAGAGTAGTAGTGATTACTCCACTGAGAAATGGCGGAGACATCCCAAGCTGATCTAGGGGGGACTCCTGGAAGTACATCTGGGACTGTACCACATACACCCCAACTCCTCAGGCTGCTACGCACACAGTGTGCTGCTTCCCTTTCCACTGTGGCGTCCCCTTCTCTCCTGACCCTCTCTGCCTCTTCAGAGATTCATACAGACACTTGGCCATAAAACCATCAATGTAGTATTTCCAGGGGCTGGGGATTTAGCTCAGCGGCATAAGCACCTGCCTTGGAAGCAGGCAGTCGTGAGTTCGATCCCTGGTACCGATAAAAAGGAAAAAGACAAAAAAAAAAAAAAATGTAGTATTTCCTTCCCTCACCCATTCATTCATTGATTCTCCCAACCAACAAATATTTAAGGAGTGCCTACCAAGTACCCCGGATGGTGCTGGGTGCTGAAGATACAAACATAAGTAAACTGGAAAGATTGGAAACAATGTAGAGTTCCTAGAGGTTAGTGGCATCCAGCCTGGAATACATGAGTGTTACAGGGCTGGGGAGGGGAAACGGGGGAAGTGGAAGCACCCAAAAGCTCCATCCTCAAGATGGGTTATATTTTAACATGGCACACTTTAAAATGAAAAGTAGTCCATGGCCAGAAAATTTTAATGTAGACAGGACCATCACTACTTGTTATCTGATTTAGTTTATGCTCTTAGCTTGTCCGAAAGTCATATGTGTGTTCATGACGATTTTAACTGGGATAATACAAATATTATTCTTAAAGATGTGTGAAAAAATAAAAAAGAGCATTGTAGCAGAACCTACTGATCTGCTAAATCATGGATGTTCAGACCTGAGCCTGAAGGATGTCCCCAAATCAGTGCCTGCTTGGCATGGAGACAGGGGCAGGGCCAGCCCTGCCTTCCTCACTTAGTCCAGGAGAGGGCTGATGCTGAGGGGGTTGAGGGACCCGTTTGGGATGCAGTAACCCTCAAATGCAGGCCTGTCCTGTCGCCAGGATCCAGTTTCTCCACAAGTCAGCATGCTGGGTCCCTCACTGGCACCTGAAGCAGAGCCCTCTGTCTCTCCCCTCCCACGGCCCTCCAGGAGAGCAGAACTGGAGGGGTGATATGCCTGGCCCCTCTCCGGGCCCTCAGCGAGTGACAGGTAGGCTTGTGAGTGACTGCAAGGGAGACACTGACTCTGGTTGGGAAGCATTTCCAATGTTGTGTTTTTCTGTCTAGCATGGACACGCCCCTTGGACTGGCTGAATCATAAGTAATTCTCTGAAACCCCTATCTGCCTGGAAATGCTGGCTACTCTTTCCCACGGTTCGGAAGCCATCAGCTGTGCCTACCAGCAGGCCCAGCTACCCACACCAGCCACAGGCCTCTTGCCATTCCCTGGGAGGACACTGAGGAGAAAGGAGCTGGAAGCTGCCCTAAGCCTTTGACGGCTTATGCCACAGAGCTGAGGGCCTTTTGAGTGTTCCTCTGTAGCTTCCTATGCCTTCCGTATCCAGCAGTGTGCCTGGTCCCCAGGATCCAGCTGGCCCTTAGCAGTGTATGGTCTCAGCTTCCCTGTTAAATGCCAAGTAGCCAGTTTGTTCTTGGGTGTAAATGTGGACATGAAGATTTCATTTCTCAAAGATGCCTGTGGCAATATTGCAGCTAAGTATTGGCTGTGTAATTAAGTTATGCTAATGACATATGCAAGGGATTATTATGTGGAAACTTTGGGAAAGGTGCCTTCAAAGGAAGATGGAGTACTTTTCCTCCCGCTGACTGCAACGTAGATACGATGGCTAGAGTTCTGGCAGCTTTCTTGGACCATGAAGAAAGCCTTCGCAAATATCAGAAACTCGAAAGTTACAAAGGAAAGGGTAAAATATAGTTGACTAAATTAAAATTTTAACATTCTCATAACAAAAAAATAGCAAAGATGGTAGATAACCAGATATGGAAATTGTATTTATGAATCAGAGGACCAAGGGTATGAAAGGGTTCTTCCCCTCCTTATTTACAAAAGTTTGTTTCCATTTCTTTCTGTTCTTTTTCCTTTTCAGTTCCTCCTTCCCAACCTCTAGTTCTCCTCGTTTGAAAATTTTCTTCCCATTTCACAATATCTACTATTTATATTTTCAGTTTCTCCTCTAGGGAAATCATGTGATATTTGAACGTGTGTGTCTGATTTAATTCACTTAAGAGTATGGCCTCAAGGTGCTTTCATTTACCTGGGAGTGCTTTTTACCTCAAGTTTATCCTTCTGCACGGCAGAAGGAAACTCTCATCTTCTTTATCCATGCATTGGCTGTTAGGCATTTGGACCATTTC